GGTGAGAATTAAAGCAATAGTTCACCATTTTCTCGCCTGCATGTCGTTCCAAACCTCGGTGAAACACAAAATGAAATGTTTTGAATAATGTAGTTTGTTGCTCTTTTTCATATTTTCCTTGAGCGACTGCTTTTTACATGTGTGCTGTTTCATTAAAATGAATCATCCAAATGAACTGGCTCTTTTGAGTCAATTTTTGTTGCACTGTTATTTTATGCATAATCATTTTCTATTTTTAACTGTTTTAAATTCATTTTAAATAAATTTTTTAATTCATCAGTTTTTAAATTCCTTGTTGTGATTATTTTTTATGATTATTTTACTTTATTTTATGTAAAGCACTTTGAATTACCATTGTGTATGAAATGTGCTATATAAATAAACTTGCCTTGCCTTTAATAAATCATTTGATCCAGTTCACAAAACTGCTACTTTTTGTGAGTAACTGTCAGTGTAGTTGTGGTTTAACTATGTTAAAGGAATAGTTCACCCAAAATGAAAATGTGTGCTGTAAATGAGCTCACCATCAGGCCACCAGAGATGTAGATGAGTTTGTTTCTTCATCAGATTTGGAGAAATGTAGCATTGCATCAGTGTCTCAGCAATGGATGCTCTGCAGTGAATGGGTGCCGTCAGAATGAGAGTCTAAACAGCTGATAAAAACATCACAGTAATCCACAGCACTCCAGTCCATCAGTTAACATCTTCAGAAGACAAAAGCTGAAACAAATCCAGCATTAACATTTAAAGTAATAAAGTCCATCATTCATAATAAGGCTTCCTCCAGTGAAAAAATGGTCTGGTCTGAATCAGGAGAGAAATCTGCACAGATCAAGCACAGTTTACAAGCCAAAACAGCTCTAAACAAATATGTGGTGGATTTTGATGTGAGACAACAGGAGATGGACATTATCACTGAACGAAGTGCTATTAGGAATTATGGACTCGTATTTTTGCTGGAAGCAAAGGTTTGAAGTTAAAAACGTCTTAATGATGGATTTGTTTCCTACAAACACACAGCTTTTGTCTTCTCAAGACATTAACTGATGGACTGGAGTGGTGTGGATTACTTGTGGATTACTGTGATGTTTTTATCAGCTGTTTGGACTCTCATTCTGACGGCACCCATTCACTGCAGAGCATCCATTGCTGAGACACTGATGCAGTGACACATTTCTCCAAACCTGATGAAGAAACAAACTCATCCTAATGGCCTGAGGATGATTTTTGGGTGAACTGTTTCTTTAAATAGCTTGACATGACAGTTTCAGAGTGGCTTCACTCTTGACTTTGAGCAGATGGAAAGCTCCATTTATGAAACCCGATGACACAGTGATAGTCTGGGTCCTCAGGAGAGGATCTAGTGTCCATGTCTCATCTCAGAAAGGCTCTCACAGATGAGATCAGGTCTTCATGAGCGCATGCACACTCAGAATCAGGCTGACGTCCTTGATGAACCCGTGCATGTTGGCCATGGCAATGTCACCTCGCCTTCGCCAGCGCTTCCCGGTTAATGGATGCAGAATCGGGTTTCATCCGATTGATTGATTCCAGCTCGTGTTCTGCTGTGGTGGAGTTTGGCAGAGCCGCTGAATGGACTCACAGTTTTTATCCTCTCGTCTCTTCAGGCACGTCGCTGTCCTGATGGAAACCATTAAGAAAGGAGTTCATGATGCCGACTCTGAGGCCAGATCAGTCGCTAGGAAGTGAGTGATTCTGTGTTTGTGTTTAATAATGATAATGATGATGACGTGATTGTTGATATCCAAATCATCTCAACACAGAAGGGATTCGCTCAATGTAAAAAACTGAAATGCAGACCAAAATTAGCTGATTTTGGGAAATATTCAGGCATCAAAAGATTACAATCAGCTTTATTTTAGTATGATTTACTATCATAGTTTTTATTATTTTGAATGTTTTTATTTTTATGTTTTCTGTTTTAGTAATTTTGTGTTTGTCATTTTTATTATATATTTTTTTAATATGTCTGTAAAGATTTTATCAGGTTTTGGTTTGTA